TTTCAATGCGTTTGTCGCATTGTAGGGTGCCAGCATTCCGCATTACAGAGTAACCCCCCGATACTGGCAAGCGACAAACTGTGAATTGATGAATCAACGAGATCAAACAAACATACGTACAGTCAAGAATGATATAATGTATTCTCTCAATGGTGACGTACAGTCTGCTTTAAGACACGAAGAAGGGCACAGCACGGAAGATGTCATCCGACCTACAGAGAACGTATTAACGAATACCGGGCATAAAAGCTCAAACTCAAAAGAGCCAGAGCTGTAAAAAATTTGAAACAATTTAGCAATCAATGATTGTGCTACCAATATTATTATTGCAATGAAAATTGGTTGCTTTCATTCTGATTGTAAAAATTAAATCTTACATTAACAAAGAATCATCAGTCGTTGAACTAAAACGAGCCAACAGAAAGGGGGCCGCGCTGACTCCAGAAATTTAATGCCCCTTAATCTCCATCTTGCAAATCGGCAGGAATGCGAGCAACGTTACTGTTGGTGGATATGTGGACGGGAATGAGCGAGCACTAATTGTGGATACGGGCGCATCACATTCCATCATTCGGCATTGCCTGAAGCCAGGTTGAGGACAGCAACTGGTGCGGACACCCAACATGCAAAGTTTCTGTTGGGAATGTGGAAGTGTTACACAAGTTCATAGTGGCGGAGATTGTGGATGAAGTCGTCATTGGGGTAGACTTCTTACTTAATCAAGGTATCCAGATCGCCATTAGCAGCAAGCGAGTAATCCTAGAGGAAAGAGAACAGATTCCACCGAAATCAGAAACAGTTGTTTGGGTGAAGGCTGATGTGGATTCTGGGAAAAACAAATTGTGAGTGGTTGGTAAATCCCTGGCTAAGACATAAAAAGATGGACGCGTTCCAGCTCGAGTACTTAGTGAGTTCAAATCACCAATCAAACTGCGAAGAGAAACTGTATTGGAATAATATCGAGAGGTTGAGGCCATCTTCAATTGCGGAATTTTACCTGGAAGCGATTCCATTGGCGAGAATGACATTGCGGAAGACATAACTGCTTCTACGTCAGGGTTGAAAGGAAAATACCATCACAAGGCTAAGGAACTTCTCCGCAGATTCTGAAACATACTCGACAAAGATGACAACAAACCAGGTAAAGAACATTGGGAAACATCGCATTGATACTGGTGATCCAAGGCCGATACGTCCAGGATGACCAAATGTGGTTCTGCAAGACTACCGAAAACTAAATGATGTGACTAAGGACAGCTATCCATTGTCCAGAAACGATTATACTCTGGACGCGTTGACCCGCACGGAATGGTTCTCAGTAGAGCTGTCAAACTATCGATAGTCAAGTCCATCGATGTTTTACGATAGTCTTAAATGTGACTATCGATAGTATCGACCCATTTCATAAGTTTTTCTAAATCCATTTATTTTTCGTTATCTTGCTATTATAAATTTGTTTATTTTAAAGGCTCACGGTTGCATTTTAGTATCGAGAAATATTGCTGGAAATTCATTCGCCGTGTAAACAGTCAAAAAGCGATTTCAGAAATTTTCCCTGCAATTCGCCGTTCGGAAGTAAAAAACTTTCTTTCGAAAGACACTTTACATGCAAGGTGCCACTGCTCATGAAATTGCTTTCTGAAATTTCTCAATTTGACAGTCTTTTGAAATATACTGCATTGCCACGTCTGACACGCTCTTAAGACGGCAATGTAACCTCTGCTATTTCCACGCTTAAAATAAAAAATGGCGCTTTTAGAAATAATGCCATGAACCAACTAAACAAATCACCCAGCACTGCAACCGTGTATTCGTAATTGCATTTGAGAAAAAAAATAATAGTTGATATCGTAATTTTTTAATCGGCTGTTTCAGTCACACACATGGCTTCATTCCGTTTTATTCACATGGCGGCGAAAAAATTACGTCTCTGCAAAAAAGAACTTTTTTCCCACTCCGTCCTGGGTGATCTTTATTCGTTCGTTCGTGAAATAATGCTGCCAAGTTTTGTTCTCTTTGAGCCAATTCGTGCAAATGTCAAAAGCGCTAGGAAAGAAAATAAGTTATCAATAAAACGATAGTGGCGATAGTACTAAAATTGTCGATAGTTATTTCATGTGACTAGACTATCGATACTATTGATAGTATCGTCGATAGTTTGACAGCCCTAGTTCTCAACGCTCGACCTTAAAAGCGGTTATTGGCAAGTGGGGGTAAGTGAGAAAGACAAGGATAAGAAAGCCGTCAGCGTTGGAGATGGTCTTCGGCAATTCACGGTGATGGCTTTGGACAAGGCAACGCTCCTGCCACTTTTGAAATACTCATGGGCCATATGCTGAAGGGACTACATGTTTGGTGTATCTAGACGACATTATCGTATTGGGTAAAAGCACCTGTAGGGAAAACACGAACTACTGAGCCAAATTTCTAGTTCAGTACTAGTTCTTTTTCGCCAAAAATGACCCAGTCCGATAGTAACTAGTCACGCACCAGTCCAAAAGCAATGAAATGTGGTACTTTCACTAAACTATTTTATTTCAAATTTTAAACGCAGGGAAGGTAATCATTATGAGAAAAATAATTTAAATCAGCATTTAATCATTATGTTATGAATTATTATTGGGTTTTATTTTTTCGCTCAAACGGAAATAATCATTATTTGATTTTTATTTTTGGGATTACAAATAATGATTATTTTATGATTTTAATTTTTTCGCGCAGAGATTATCATTAATTTTGAGTTTTATTTTTCCACTTAAAAATTATGATAGTTTATAAAATTGAAAAGGCCATACATACGCAACCTACTGAAATTTTGACCTGAAAAGTCTGGGTCTTATTCCTCTTATAAGGGTGCGGCTACCTCTCAAAAGGATACGTCGGTAATCACGCTGGTATAGTTTTTGAGTTGCTTAATAATCATTATACTTAGTGATTCCATAAAAAAGGCCATGATCCTGAAGGACAATTGAGAAAGGCAATGCATTTGCAGAAAAAGAGGCATTTAAAAAAAAGTGTCAAAATAATTACCACTTTCTCACTAAATTTATTTAAAAATTCAAGCCACCAGAGCTACCTTTTTATAAGAAAAGACAAATTAATTTTTGTTTATGCAATCCAGCACAGCTACCTTAATACAGTCAGTCAATAAAGTTTAGGTACAACGATTTTTTTACAATACGGGCAACTGTTTTTTAAATATTTTAGTTTTCGGTAATTTTTTATAAAAATATGGTAAATTCTACAACAAAATCCCCAAAATCAGAGTTCCAACCCTGTGCAAAATTTAAGAAAATTCTGAAAAATTTCATTAAAATAATTCACTTTCTATTTACGCTCTCTAGAAAAAGTTGAGTTTTCAGTTTTTTAGCCCATTCAATTTTAGTATAATGAAGTGCAAGTATGAGAAAGCAAGGACTTACCAAACAACAAAAAAAAATGCTAAATATGAATGGTAAGTCCTAGCTACCTCAAACTTGCACTTTGTTATACTAAAATTGAATGGGCTAATAACTGAGTACTTAACTTTTTTCTAAAGAGTGTAAATTGCAATACTTGGATGGAAATTCGCAGAGTTTTCTTTAATTTTGCATAAGGTTTGGAACTCTGATTTTTGGGGTTTTTGGTGTAGAATTAACCATATTTTTATAAAAAATTAGGGAAAAATAAAATATTTAAAAAATAGTTGCCGGTATTGTAAAAACTTCACTGTACCTAAACTTTATTGACTGACTGTATATCTTATTTAAGTTAAGTACGACAAAAACTTTCGAAGTACTTCATATACATATAAGCTTAAAAAGAACTGAATTTACTTAAAAATCAATATGCTTAAATTTAGACAAGTAAGACAAAGTGAACTAATATTTTTACTTTTAAGCAGAACGCACTTTTGTTTTTTACTTACTACTTAAGTTTAATACTACTACTACTACTAATGTGGTTTATAAATTTTTAATAAATGCGTTTAAACATTTGTGATTGTATTGTCCTTCCTTCAACCGATCGTATTTAATATAGAAGGGAAATGTTTCGACAAGCCTGATTAGAAATGTAGATCTAAGGTGACGAATTTATAACAGGTTGGGAACTATAAAAAATGGATGCAGATCGAACTAGATCTCATCTGTCGAATTAGGAACTGGTTTGGAACTAAAGAAAAGGGGATGCAGAACGAACTAGATCTCATCTGTCGAATTTGGAACTGGTTCGGAACTATAGAAAAAGGGCTGCAAAACGAACTAGATCTTATCTGTCGAATTTAGAACTTGTTCGGTACTAGAGCCAAAGGGATGCAACGGGGGACAATTGACACTTCCTAGGACATCGCAATGTTAAATTCGCCATTCGCTAGCATGCAAAAGAGAATTAACGCGCACTAGTCATGGTTCCAAACGCACTAGAACCGAACCAGTTCCGCACTAGTTCGTTTCCCTACAGGGGCTTTGGGGAACACCTTAAGAATTTGGAAGATGTTCCTCTTATTATCGTCGATTTGTTCCGAATTCCGCCAGCGCTAGGTAGAAAACGGAACGGCTATACACTGCACCTATGCTAACGTACCCGGTTCCAGGTGCAGCATTTATTTGGGATACGGATGCTAGTGGGTGCCATTAGTGCGAGCGCAGGTGTATAAAGGCGTTGCTACAGCGCACACCAAATTCTGTTGCAAAGCAGAAAGCGACGAGTACAGAGATCAAGTGCCTTATTATGTTTTTTACATAAAGTGTACATGTTTTGTACATATTTACTGATTTTTAAGATTTGATTTTTTGTGATACATATAACATATACATATTTAAGTAGCTAAATTAAATTTTTTTTTGAAATTAAAGCTTTTACGTTTAAAATGCAGTAATATATTAAAGTTAAGGTTTCTTATATGTACGTAGCTGAAGACAACACTGTGCTTACTTGTTTACAGGGATGTCTCAAATTTACAAGAATTATACGTATATATAATGTAACTAATTTTAATAACATTTCTTTCTTTCTTTAAGACACCCACGACGTTGTTATGCGATTTAATCATGCGCCTACATCAGGATATGAGGTGGACGTTGGAAGTAAAACCACAATACGGGTCTTAAACTCCCAAGTAAGTTGTACACAATATGGGTTTTCACACCAATTTCGTTACGTCGCACAGAGGAGTATTTGCATAGTAAAACTGGTCAAAATTATTTTATGTGTTTTTCTTCTCAGTAATTAAATAAAACATGAAACTTAATCATGATTAGGAATTTATAGGATAAAGATTACTAATTACACTTATCTTAGGATCATTCTCGGAAATATTTCGTTATATCACCGTACGACAGTAAATTTTACACACAAATAAGTAATTTTTAAGCAAAAAAACACCGACTTCAATTCTCATATACAAATTTAAGATTATTGTTAGTATCTTCATGATCCAATGATCGGATTTAAACCAAATTAGGATGGGACCACCTGTGAGGTAACACCTTTCCTCTAAAAAAAGAATTATAGAAATCGGTTTACATGGTCCAAACTTATGCGGTAACATACATAAAAAAAAAATATTTCGACAAATTGATAACCTTTTTGTGCAATCGGTTAAAAATAAATATAATCGCAAAACTGTGGGCCAAATATAGTAGAAATGCTTTCTAGTTTTTCTCTCTGACGTCAGGATTTTTTGAAGGACTTAGAAATTTGAAAAGTATGATTTCTACAAAAAAAATTTTTTTTATTCAGTGTAAAGTAGAAAAACGGATTTGATACCTAATTAAGGAAAAAAATCTGTAGAATTAAAGCCGGTTAAATTTTTTGGTGCATAGGACGCTGGGGATTGAAATTGTTTTTTTTAAATTTTGTCCTACAAAATATCTTTGAAATTTTGCGATAATTATTTTTTAAAAAATTATATGTTCAGGACTAATATGCACTCAACCACATCCTCCAAATTCATCCTTCTAACTTTACCCATTCGTCCTTGCTAACCAAAAAAGTTTACTTCTTAAGTCTGCAGAATTTTCGCTTCCATTTAGTACCCATGTTTTTATTCTATATTGCATTGAATTTTTAGAATTTTTCATATCATTGAAACTACACAGTCCTTTTCAAAAACATCCTGACGCCAGAGAGAAAAACTAAAAACGCAGTTCTTCTATATATGGCCCAAAGTTTCGTGAGTATATTGATTACCCCGTGCGTTTTGAAATTTTTCGGTTTTTGTCGCACGGTGTATTCAGTTACCATAAGTCCACCAAAAACTTTTTCAGAAAAAGATAAGAACGGAATTCGTTTTGGTAGAACATATTTAGGTTTGACGAATTTAGATATGAACTTAGTCCTCTTAGACTGGCCCTTGATTGCGAGTCGTGCAAAAAGTTTTCGTTACTAAAGTATTGATGCTTTTTCAATTTCAATTAAGTACTAAATAACTTAAAAATAAACAAGTAAGAAAGTCTTAGTTCGGGCCGAGCCGAACACTAAATGCCCGGCGCAAGTATTAAATGTACATATGCTTTTCACCTTTCCGAAAACTACCACTACATGGTAAGGAGGGGTGGTTTTGCTCCTATTTGAAACATCTTCGATAGAACATTCAGTTAGAAATAATCAGATAAACTTATAAAATCATATGTGGGCGGTATCACGCCCATTTTCCAAAATTGCAAATAATGTTACTTCTTATCAAGGAATTGTTGCTAGTATAAATTTTGAGTAAATTAGCGTCCTTAAATTTCGAAATATCGAAGTTTCAAGAATTTCTGAAATTTACCGTTGTATGAAAAGTAGGGATGTGCCGGGTATCCGGTAGATATCCAGAATTCGGCTTATCCGGGGGTTTTTCTGTCCGGCCGGATATTGGCTAAAATCCGGCCGGTTATCCGGATTTCAATTATAGAAGATTCAATTTAAAAATCTAGTTCAAAATTTTTTATTTACTTTTACAATAAAATTTATTACTAATTATTAGTAATTAGAGTTAAAAAATTATGTATTTTTAATTATGAAAAGAAGCACTACCGCATAATCGGGCAACAACCTATTTCCATTTTCAACATAAGCGCTACCCGATGCACTCTTTAGAAGTTCACTGAGCAAGGTGGTGCGCAGAGCCACTTCATTGCCAGTGTAAACAAATTTGAAATTCTTCGCGACTATGCTTCCACCAAATTAAAGGATCTTCTTGTCTGGGTATAAGGGTTAGCTGTAAATATTTCTCCATTTCTAAATCGCTGCCTTTTTGCAAGCTTTTATTTTTCTGTACGTTCGCACAGTGGGACTTCCCCATATAAGATGCGATCAAAAGTAGTAACCGTCCTACAAATTCGCTGAAATTTCGTAAATGCTCTATTCTGCACTTAAGAATGAAGAAATCTGGAAAATAGTAAATGTCGACGCGCTACCACGCCCAAAGCTCTTGTGGTGGAAATAGTAAATGTTATCTGATTTTGATGTAATTCATATTATACGCTGGTTTTAATTATAAAATCATACATCTGAAAGAACTTCAAAATTGGCTTACATTATCGTCCACCAATTCCAAAAAAAGAGGCGCAAATTAAAAAAAATATTTTTTGATGAAATTTGGTGTACATTGCTCGTTTGCGCAAACGTTTTCCAATTTTGGAGACAATAAGGAGTTTCTTACTATGACACCTACCTTCTTATATAGCTTTTTTAGCCCCACGCACTAAATTTATTTTGTTTCTAAAGAAGTTCCTATTTCTTCACTTTAAAAATGATAAAACTAAAACATTTACAATACCTGCATACTAAATTATGTGCATGATATGTATTTGCACTAAAACTTTCAATTCTACCTTGATTTTAGATAACAAAAGCTGTGCTAAAACAAACAGGACTTTTGCCATCGAAAACTGATCTCGTCCAGAGAAGCGTCCACTTTTGGTTGAATGCTGAATCTGATTAATAGATTCGCTAGGCATTAATATGCATTTCCATTTTATTTTGCATATTATTTATTTTGTGTACATATCAGAGTCTTTTCCTTCAGCGGTATAATAAAAATTCATAGGAGGTGTGTCTATAAAAATCTGAATAGAGGCTGAACTCGCAGTTCCTCGCGGCTGGAACTATTTCAGATATGACACGTATATTTAATGTTTACTTGTCCTAAGTAAAATTTACCTCGCTTCCTAGGTCCTTTATAAATATCCCATTTTAAAGTAAGCACTCGAAAAATTTCATACTAAAAAAATTATGTAGAACTTTAAGAGAAACTCTTGTAAATTTCACTATTCATATAAAAACTTAATTCAATGCATGACCACAGATATATTAAAAAACTGGTCACCAATCAGATTGCCTTATTATATATATGCAAAAGTAGAAAAATTAATTTAAATTACTTTGTCGTAACCATCCATAACTACTGGAGTCAATCGCCACTTTTGGACTACTGCACCGACTTCTGGGAAGTAGCTACTCTATTAACCCGTGGTTGTGCGCAGGGTAGTGCAGAGTCGAACGCGTCTGAAGTAGAATTCCGAAGAACTACGAAAGGGGGCGCCCATGAATCACGCAAGTAACTACTTTAGTAGCTCCTGGTAGTGCAGAGAGAGCCGATGGTGACTACCGCCCAGGGCATTGCCTTCTAAAAGTAATCGCTGAAATACGCGGCAAGTAGTCGATCGGTAATAGACGGAGTTTACTTGGTTACCGTCAGTTCTGTAGTAGCTCTCCTGTGCTGCTGGGAAGTCAATTAAAGAAAAAAGTAAGTGCGCCTGGGCCACACTGGTGAAGTGAAACTTACGTTACATACATATCTATTTTGTGTCATAACCACTATACATACAAACATACATCCGCATTTGATTAAGTTTATATTTTTGGTCTATTTTCTATCTAGATCCCTACCTCTACCCTGTTCGTTCTAATTACATTTATGTTATTCTGTTTTCCTTTATCCTCATTTTTATCTTTATACTCTATCGATAACAAAATCGATAGTAACATCCAATAAAATATCGATAACAAAACCAATAAAAACATCGATAACAAAATCGATGAAAAATTCGATAAAAATTTCGATAGCAAAATCGATTATAATATTGGTAGCAAAATCAATTAGAAACTTGATAAAAACATCCATAACAAAATAAAAAATCGATTAAGTAGATAACAAAATCGATAAATATCGATAACAAAATCGGTAAATATCGATAACAAAATCGATACAAATATCGATAACAAAATCGATGAAAAACCAAATCTATAAATATCCATAACAAAATCGATAAATATCGATTACACTTGATAAAAATATCGATAAAAACATCCATAACAAAATAAAAAATCGATTAAGTAGATAACAAAATCGATGAATATCGATAACAAAATCGATAAATATCGATAACAAAATCAATAAATATCGATAACAAAATCGATAAAAATATCCGTAACAAAATCGGTAAATAATAATAATAATAATAGATGAAGAGGTTACCATGGTATACACATGTAATCATAAGTGGGCGTGGCTACGACCTTTTCCAAAAATTTATAATATTCTTATTTTTCGTCTAAAAATTATTGTAAATATCAATTTTGAGTGAATAATCTTCAGTAGTTACTAAAATATCGCAGTTTTCGCATTTCTAAAAACTACCGATATATGGGAGGTAGGCGTGGTAATGAAGGAAGTATACGTACCAAGTTTCGTTAAGATATCTCAATTTTTACTCGAGTAATCGTGTACGCAGGCGGACGGATCATTTATGTATACATTTGTCATATAGACATATATAAAGGCGGACTACCCCGTTCGTGTCCGTACTCTTTTTATTAATAATTTTTAGCGTTCCTTTCCCAATCTGTCTCACTGAGAGCGCGACAGAAATATGCTGAATACTCTTTGTTCGAATCAAATTGATTTTGAGTTTCTGTCCGAACGACTTGGTGATTCGGGTTGCCGTGTTCCCCTTTGTATGCGTTTACAGCGAATTGCATGTATTACTTGCCTTCAAAATCGTATGTAGGCAACAATATTATCAGCACTTTGCTTCAGAACAAAATCAAATGTGCCGAACTGAACGGTGAACCGTACTTCAGCACCCTCTCCGACAAAAATTTTTGAGAGCAAATAAAGAGTTCTCCGGA